TGCCCACTAGGCTGCCCCACGTGCTCACGAGAGATGACACTAGTCAGAAGAGTGGCAGTGGCAGAGAATCCAAACTCAACAAGTGCTCCTGAAAGAAATGCTAGAATCCTAAGAATTGTTGCCTGGTGTTCCAGCTGAGGCAGGGGAGAGCTGGTAGGAAGGAGCCAGTGAACTTGGCTTTCCTGTTTCTATTCTTTGATTAAAAAGAATACAAGGATTCAGTCATAAAGAGGTAAAAAACTGTCATGGTACGAAATCTTAGTGCACACGGAGGCTTCGAGCACTAGAGGATGAAAGTCTTTTTTTTTTTTTTTTTTTTTGTTAGCATGGCAATAAATATTCTAGCATTCCTAACTAAAGGGAGGTAGACAATTGGAGACTCTATGTCACCCTGGCTATACCGGCAGAAAACCTGTTCAGGCAGGCTTTCTGGGTGTGACTGATTCCCAGCCTGTGGCCGGGCGTGGTCCCAACTACTCGGCCTAGCACAGGCTGGCAGTTGGCCCTGAATTGTCAGATGTGGAGTATTAGTGACACCACACGTTTAATTCAGCTTTGTCCAAAGGAAAGCTTAAAATCCAGTACAGTCTAGTTTCCTGGTTCAGTTTTAGAAAAGGAAAACGTGAACAAATTTAGAAAGGGAAGGAAATCCCATGAGTGAATCCTGAAACTGGTTTTAAGTACTTTCCTTCTAGAGATCTGTGCCACAGAACAAGATACTAGGCACTTAAAGCTTTTTCCTTAATTGGCAAAGGAAAAGAGGCCCAGGTGAAAAAGAAAACGCATTTTAGAAATGGACAGGTTGTCAAAATAAAGGGAAGAAAGGGGGCAGCATGGACAGAGGCCTAGGCCTGAAGCTCCATGGACATGTCTGTGCAGGGCCCTCAGCTCGTCCATCCAGCCTGGGTGTCCCTTTCCTCAGCTTTATAACAAAGGTGGCTCCAAGCTCAGGTGCCTCTGAGTTCCAGGAGGCTGTGGGTTTCACTCAACCACGGATGGGAGAATGAGACCTGGAGTCATGGTGAAGGGGCCCAGCCTAAAACTGTAGGCTTTCATGTTGCACAGAACTCGAGTCAGTAGTTAGGTTTGGTTTGGTTTTGGAAGTGGTAAACCTGCCGAGAGTCACTTGGTCATGCTGCAGTGAGTAGTTTTAAGGATGGGAAAGGTGACAGTAGGACTCTCGAGAGGCAATTCAGTCCTGGGCAAAGGTATTAGTACAGTAAGCGTTCAGGGCAGAGTCTATCTTGAAACCAATTAAGCAGCTTGGTATTCATAAATATTGAGATTGGATGGCCTCCATCCAGGAATCACTATGGGTGAGCATACCTGTCTCAGCTGTTTGGCCAATGTGCATAACCTACTCGGATCCCCACCTGACACTAACCAGAGTCAGCACAGGCCCCGAGGAGCCCAAAGTCTGCTGCTGTGCAGCATGGAATTCCTTTAAAAAGGTGCACTACAGCTTTAGCGGGGAGGGGGATAGGAAGACGCAGAGCAGATGAGCTCCCGAGTCCCTGCAGGTGAATAAACACACAGATCTGCATCTGATAGAACTTCAATGGATTTTCAAAAAGCCATTGACAAGACTCTGCCATAAAGTCTATAAAAATTGTTATTATGGGATTGGAAGAAACACGTGGTCATGAATATAAAAAAACTGAAACCCAAAGGTAGGAAGGTCAAGGTCCCTTCTTCTATGGAGAAGTTGTGAAAGATGTCATTGGAGAGGAGTGTTAGGACCAGCATTACTAAGGCAGGTGGGCAGACAGTGACCTCTCTAGGTGTGCCCACAGAGTTTTTCAGGAGAGAAAACTGCCCGACCTTTGGGACTAAGCTGCAGAATCTTCTTACTAAGCTTGATGAGTGGAGAGGCAAGAGGTGAGCTACTTTGTGAGCCAAAGCTTATGTGACGTGGTTGGGGGAAACAGTCCAAATTGTTCTGAGAAGGTGAACTGTTACAACCCAGGAACAGGTCCTGGAAACCACTGACAATTAGAAAAATTCACCCACCATGCCGCACATTACTGGGTAAAAGCAGAGCAGCAGGGAACAAAACTCCAGACTCTTGGGCCGTCCCCATTTGCAACAGCACATGTAGTTTCTGGTATAGTTGTTGAGAAAGAGAAAACTCTAGCCGTTGTTCAGAGGAGGATGTATAAAATGGTCCTGGGGATGAAAGGATCTGTGAGACCACAGAGGCTCAGACTCGCTGTTAAGAATAGAAAACTGGGTATGTGTTTCATGTAGCCAGCAGAACCGAAGTGTGCTGTGACAAGCCAATGTGAATTTCTACCAAATAGTAGAGCATACCACTTGAAGAAGGAACTGAAGAGCAAACAAAAGTTCTCCACAGCGAGACTCACCTTATCTCACTGAAAGCACTAAGAGGTGGGAGGAGGCCTGTACAGGCTGGAGGAGGGTTTGGGCAGAGCGAAGGCCCGGCCAGGACCTTGGTGAGATGGAGTGCCGCCCACCTCCTGCGGATACTCTTGGAGAGTGGTCCCCCCAGGGGGCTCTGCCCCACCTGGAGAAGAAAGCTGCCTTGTGTGGAGTGACTTAGATCAGTACACGATCTATCTGCTGCACCTTCACTCTCCAGGGTACATGCTTTAAAACTGACCTGCCACAAGCGTTGGAAAAATGTATCCAGTCTGAAGATGTTTGTGTGTCTGTTTACATCCAGAGTTCTGTGACACATGTCCCCCAGATTGCTGCAAAGATCCCCAAGGCATTGATTGCACTCGATTAAGCTTTTGTCTGTAGGTAAAAACAAGTTTAGGTCGAGGACTGGCCCCTACGCTGCTGCTGTGACCCTTGTCCCACATGGCTTCTCTGTCCGGAACTCTTCGATGTGCCCAGGGGAGCATGTTCCTGTCTCCTCCATGCCGTCCTGCAGTCCGTATCGGCTCGTCTGAGGGAAGAGTAGCTGTAGCTACAAGGGAAGCCTGCCTGGAAGAGCCGAGCACCTGTGCCCACGGCTTCTGGTCATGAAACGAGTTAATGAAGGCAGAGGAGTTTCCTCCTCGCTTCCCAGCGCCACATTACCCACCCTCTGAGATAAGTAGGCTGGTTTAACCATTGGAATGGACCTTTCAGGGGAGATCCTGAGAGTCTGAGAACCCCCAGACCAACCCCTCCCTCCCTTTCCCCACCTCTTACAGTGTTTGGACAGGAGGGTATGGTGCTGCTCTGTGTAGCAAATACTTTGGCTTATGAAAGAGGCAGCCATGCATTTTGCACTAGGAAGAATCAGTAATCACTTTTCAGAAGACTTCTATGGACCACAAATATATTACGGAGGAACAGATTTTGCTAAGACATAATCTAGTTTTATAACTCAATCATGGATGAACCATGTGCGGCAAACTTGCAGTTTAAAGGGGTCCCATCAGTGAAAAGAAACTGATTGTTTTTAACGGACTGCTTTTAGTTAAATTGAAGAAAGTCAGCTCTTGTCAAAAGGTCTCAACTTTCCCGCCTCAATCCTAAAAGCATGTCAACAATCCACATCAGATGCCATAAAAATGAACTGCAAGATAAAATGGTACAATCTTAGTGAATGGGAATTGGAATCAAAAGGGTTTGCTGTCCTTCTTAGAATGTTCTAAAACGTCAAGGCAGTTGCTTGTGTTTAACTGTGAACAAATAAAAATTTATTGTTTTGCACTACTCTGCTGTGTGGACATGGAGTGGCTTACACTGGCCTTGGCAGGCTTATAGGTCAAGCAGGGGACTGGTCCAAAGATACGAAGCCTTAGGGTCTGGTTTGGCTACCTTGGGTGACTGGAGGAGGAACCTGACGAATAATGGATTTGGGCTTTTGTCTCTAAGAACACTCTTTTTGTTCTGGCAAATTATCTGGTGCACAGCCACACATCCTACCTGTATCTGCCTCAAATTCATGTTCTTCCTCAAAGAGTGGCCAAGGGGCATAGTGTGGGAGGGGGTGACTCGAATCCTGTCTACAGAGAAACCCCCAGAGCCAGGCTGTCTGCAGGGGTGTGTTGTTCCTCCGTGCTGGCATGCTGGGTGTCTCGGAGTCCTTTTGGGGGCACTGCACTGACATGTCAGTGCTCCAGAGCTTGCCCTCTTGAGCCTTGCGGGTTGTGTTAATGTGAGTGTGCCAAGGAGACAGTGCCGCTCCCAACACTCCCTTCTCCATGCCCTTCATGGGCTTCGGAAGGCGGCCAGAAACTGCCTTTACACCATTTTGACATCCACACTGGCTAATGATCTCTTGGCCTGGACTTCCATATAAGGACCAGGGATGAGTTTCATTTGCGATGTGGCTTTCAATTGCTTGCCTCTGCCTGGCTGTGTCTGGAAATCAGCATTGCTCTGCCCATTTTATTTTTATGTGTTTGTTTATTTGTTTGAGACAGAGTCTCACTCTGTCGCCGAGGCTGGAGTGCAGTGGCCTAGTCTCGACTCACTGCAACCTCCGCCTCCCAGGTCCAAGTGATTCTCCTGTCTCAGCCTCCCAAGTTGCCGGGATTACAGGCACCTGCCACCATACCCGGCTAGTTTTTTTGTATTTTTAGTAGAGACGGGTTTTCATCGTGTTGGCCAGGCTGGTCTCAAACTCCTGGCCTCAAGTGATTCACCTGCCTCGGCCTCCCAAAGTGCTGGGATTACAGGCGTGAGCCACCGCGCCTACCCTGCTCTGCCCATTTCAATGGTTGAAGCAACTCCTTTGAGACTAAGACTGGGAGGTGGCAGTTTTTAATTTCTCAGGAAAATTCAGGTTTTCTTATCTGACTAGATCTCTAACTAGACTTCCCACCCTTGGAGGAAGATCTGAATGCTGGCTCGCCCTCTGGAGCTTGGGCATGAGCCTCTTAGAAGCTGACTGGAGACAGGCACGCCCCCTTGCCTAGGGCGGCCTCTCTCTGCTGTCTGCTGAGGCTCTGCATGTGTGGCTACTGCCCAGTGTCCTTTGATGTCTTAGGGGAGATGGAGGTTTTCTTTCAGGGATAAATCCCAGGAAACCAAGCCAGGCAGAGAGGTGGTAGAATACTTTTTATTCTCGACTGTCTCCCCCTGAGGAAGCAACAATACAGAAGCTAAGTCGTCCCCTGTGAAGGGAAAAACCAACAGTCAGACATTACTTTGGGCAAGCTCAGAAGCCAGGGACACATTTTACAATGTTTGGGGTTCAACTATGCTGTGAAAACCAGGTCACTGCCCTTGCTCAGGAGCCGTAAAATCAGAATTCTGGCTTCGGTCATGGTCTCCCTCTCCCAAGTAAAGGAGAAGGGAAGGTGGGTTTATTCCCCTTTGGCTGTGGTCCAGAGAACTAAACACACTGAGTTCTGGCCAGATGCGGTGGCTCACACCTGTAATCCCAGCACTTCGAGAGGCCGAGGTGGGTGGATCAGTTGAGGTCAGGAGTTCAAGACCAGCCTGGCCGACATGGTGAAGCCCCGTCTCTACTAAAAAAAAAATACAAAAATTAGCCAGGTGGGGTGGTGGGTGCCTGTAATTCCAGCTACTCAGGAGGCTGAGGCAGGAGAATCGCTTGAACCTGGAGGTGGAGGTTGCAGTGAGCCGAGATCATGCCACTGCATGCCAGCCTGGGAGGCAGAGTGAGACTCCATTTCAAAAAATAACAATAAAATGTAAACACACTGTGTTCCACATGCTCACCCCCACTCCATCCTGGAGGGGAGCATCCCTGGCTCGCAAACAGCATGTGCCTTGCCTACAGTTGGGGCTGGTGGTGGGGCAAGGAGCGTATGGTCTCCAGCTTGGTGGCTCACTGCAAAGCTGCAGCCCGCAGCAGGGACAGGCCTGGCACTGGAGCCGGATGTGGCTCAAAGAGGACCTAGGTGACAGTTCAGTGCCCTCCTTGGACCCTCTACCACGCCATCCTGTTTGGGAAACTCCTGTAAGTGGGTTTCCTCTTCATCAGCACGGAGCCTGATGCTTAGAAGCGGAAACATTAGAAGTTAAAGCAAGAGGGCCGGGCGCAGTGGCTCACGCCTATAATCCCAACACTTTGGGAGGCTGATCACGAGGGCGGATCACGAGGCCAGGAGATTGAGACCATCCTGGCTAACACGGTGAAACCCCATCTCTACTAAAAATACAAAGAATTAGCCAGGCGTGGTGGCGGGTGCCTGTAGTCCCACCTACTCGGGAGGCTGAGGCAGGATAATGGCGTGGACCCGGGAGGCGGAGCTTGCAGTGAGCAGAGGTCACGCCACTGCACTCCAGCCTGGGCAACAGAGCGAAACTCTGTCTCAAAAAAAAAAAAAAAAAAAAAGTTAAAGCAAGAGAGAGAGAGGAAGTCTCAGTAATATATTGGCTGATTCCCTTTGGGGTTAGTAAGTGGCAGGGGCCGTGGGTACCAATGAAAAAAGGACCAACCAGTAAAATCCAAATTAAATAGCAAAGCTCTCCACCGATGTAGCTCCCTGGCTCTGAGTTACAGTTTCCCACCAGGAGGCCTCCAGGGCGGTTTTGAACATCCCCTGGGTTTGAGGCTGACTTTGGTGAGCTGTCTACACTTGTGTTTAGTGGCCCCGGGCTGGGTGCCTATGGCCTGGGCAGGACGAGCGGCTCCCCTGGTGCTCTCCTGGCGTGCCTGGGGCTCACTCACGTGCTGCAGCACCTTGCGTGGCAACTTCTCAGAGTGGGCAATCCATTCTTTCATTAAGTCTAGCACGAGGGGGATGAGGCTGACCACGCCTCCGTAGTGGTTCCGGGCCTCGTCACAGCTGAGGTGGTTCACCACGTCATGAGGGTATCTGCAGGATGGCAGGGGGCCGGGTGAGCCCATGCTCCCGGGACTTGCCATGCCGTGGCAAGCAGCCGCCAGACCTCAGGCACAGCAGAGTCACCTGGGGAGGCTTTAGAACTGGACACACAGCATGCTCAGGCTCTCTGTCCCCAGAGATTCTGGCAGACCAGGCCTGGGGTGCCACAGGCCTCAGGTAATTCTGGTGTGAAAGACAGGAGGTGCAAACCACTGCCCCACGGTCCGCAGGAACCTGGGTTGGGGGTGAGGAACTGGCTGGCTCATCCCTCTGGCTCATCTCACCCTGGTATCTACAGAGCTTCCCCAGGCTCTGGCCCACTGTCCCGCGGGCTCCCAGGCTGTCAGGATGAGGAGCCCTCAGTGGCGGTGCTGCTGCCCCTGGGAGGCAGCGCTAGCGTCCACTTCTTTGCATGTCAGTGAGGATCTCTGTGGGCTTCCGGGGGCAACTGCTCTGGGCTCTACATCCGCTTCTCCACCTGCCTGGTGCTAACACCCGTGAGACATTTGGTATCCTGCCACGTCTATGATGCTTGTAAAGAAAAGTTTTCGTTGAATCCGAGAGGAGACTGGGATTTCCTGCCCAGGGTGGTCTAACAGGAGCCACATGACCCAGACAACAGGAAAGAAGCAGGACAGAGGCCTCCCCACAGGCACACACGGGGCCTCAAAAGCAGCACCAGAGGGACTTACTTTGCTCTGAGGCTGCTTAAGTCATTGCTTTGGCTAACGAGGGTTTTGCATTTCTCGAGGAGGTTGTTGGTGACTGGGGTGCCAGAGTGCACGGCCTCAAAGTGCTGGCAGAGCTTACTCAGCTCTGAACAGATGTCCAGGAACATGAGCAGAATCCGCCGGTCTGTGGAGTTGTTGCAGTGGTGTTCCATGTAGCTCTGCACCTGCAAAGGCCACCGCCACATGAGCTGGGGACATGCCAACCCGGGTCCTGGCTGGCTTATGGTGCAGATGTCCAGGAGCACCCACCCTACTCCCTCCCACCCTCCATGATTCATGGGGGAGATGCAAGTAACGCGTAAGCATTTTAAGGTACAGACCACTCTATATAGTGGTATCTCTCGATGGATGGATGGATGGATGGATGGATGGATGGATGGATGGATGGATACATAGATAGATGATATGAAATTAATGGATTGGCTGGGCACAGTGGCTCACACATGTAATCCCAGCACTTTGGGAGGCTGAGGTGGGCAGGGATCACTTGAGGTCAGGAGTTTGAGACCAGCCTGGTCAACATGGTAAAACCCCATCTCTACTAGGAAAAAACAAAATTAGCCAGGCGTGGTGGCACATGCCTGTAGTCCCAGCTACTCAGGAGGCTAAGGCAGGAAAACCACTTGAACCCGGGAGGCGGAGGCTGCAGTGAGCCGAGATCACGCCACTGCACTCCAGCCTGGGTAACAGAGCAAGACGCCATCTCAAAAAAAAAAAAAATTAATTAAATTAAATGGATGGATGGATGGGTAGATAGATAGACGGATATAAAATCAAGTGTTCCAGCACCATGCAAAATGCTTTACAGGCCTGCTCTCACTTGTCTTCATCTAAACCCTACACACTGAGTAGGTACCTTTTTAAATTCTCATCTTACAGATGAGTACCATGACATGAGCACTGGAGGTCTGGAGAGGTGAAATAACCTGCCCAGGGCACCAGTGGCTTAGTTGGATGTTGTCCCCAGCTCAGTGGCTCCGTGCCCTACCCCTCACCTGTCCCCATGCCACCTGAACCAACCACTACCTAAAGCAAAAGGGGGCTGCCCCCTGACTTAATGCCACAGTGCCTGTCATCCCACTTAGAGAGTTCATTGTGAGAAATGCCAGCGTGGGCCACCCATACTGAGGAAACAGCAGGGACTGGAATCTTTTGGGCTTCAGCTGTACTATGTTCACAAGCTGGAGGAAGGAGGGGCAGGCGAGTAAGTGGAGCTTATTGGGTTACCAAGTGACTGCATCCGAGGTTGAGCCAGAGCCGGAGGTCTGATCTTGTGCTAAGGAGGAATTGGCTGTGGTCCAGGCCAGGTTAACAGACCCATTTCACGGTCAGATGGTTCTACTCTCCACAATCTGATGACAGATGCAGGTATCACCTCCTCCAGCACCCACAAAGGTCTACATCTAAATCAGGGTTTTCTTGCTGTAACCGTTTGCCTTTTTGTTGCTAAGGGATGTTTCCCCAAACAATCTGAAGTGCTTCCTTCTCAAGGATTGCCAGGCACACAGCAGCTTTGTAAGGGCGAGAGGGTTTTGACACACATACCCACAAGGGCACCTGTGGGGGTCGAGGAGGAGGAACCTGCCCCAAGGTGTAACTACAACAGAGCACTGGTGGGGGGACCGGGGGGCGGGGCACGGTGTGCAGGGAACCTTTGGACACTTTTGGTTCAGGGAGGGCAGGGGAGGGGTAAGAGGCAACTCAGAACACAAGGCCACTATTTACCAATAGCCTTCAGTTGAACCTAAGGCAAGAAGGCCACTCCCTTATGCATTGATAGAGATTCTGGGAAGGGACACTTGTTGACTTTTGAAGCTTCTGGAGGATGGACGAAAAAGGATGTAGCCAGTTTCTTTCCTTTCTTCCCCCGAAGTCCAGGTTTACAGAAGAGGAAGTTTATTTTCCAGTAGCTCAGGGGCTGCGTGCATGGGCAAATATGGCTAAACTGGCTAAATGTCACAAGTCGCTGAATCTGGGTGAGGGTTATATGGGTGCTGCTTTTCTGTACATTTAACTGTTTTTTTTTGAGAGAGAGAGGGTCTTGCTGTGTCGCCCAGGCTGGAGTGCAGTGGTATGATCTTGGCTCACTGCAGCCTCTGCCTCCAGGGTTCATGTGATTCTCATGCCTCAGCCTCCCGAGTCACTGGGACTATAGGTGCGCGCCACCACACCTGGCTAATTTTTGGATTTTTAGTAAAGATGGGGTTTCACCATGTTGGCCAGGATGGTCTCAAACTCCTGGCCTCAGGTGATCCACCCACCTTGGCCTCCCAAAGTGCTGGGATTACCAGCATGAGCCGCTGCATCTAGCCTCTACATTTAACATTTTTTTGAGTTAAAAAATTGAGGAAACATTTTACCAAAATTAGAAAAAAAGATTTTTTTTTCTTTTTTTTTTTTGTTTTTTGAGACGCAGTCTTGCTCTGTGGCCCAGGCTGGAGTGCAATGGCGTAATCTCAGCTCACTGCAACCTCCGCCTCCCAGATTCAAGCAATTCTCCTGCCTCAGCCTCCTGAGTAGCTGGGATTACAGGCACCCGCCACCATGCCCGGCTAATTTTTGTATTTTTAGTAGAGATGGGGTTTCACCATGTTGGTCAGGCTGGTCTCAAACTCCTGACCTCGTGATCCACCTGCCTCGGCCTCTCAAAGTGCTGGGATTACAGGCATCAGCCACCACGCCTGGCCAGAAAAAAAGCTTTTAAAGGATGCTGCCAGCGAGGGGGTCGCTTGTTCCTCCCGAGCCTGTTTCTCCTCTGCAGTTCTGAGCCCTGTGCCTGTTCCCACCCATCTTGGGGCAGTTACCCTTCCACAGGCTGACTCCCTCCAAGCTGCGAAGGGCCGGCCTGTGTGTGTTCCTAACCGCACTGCAGCTCCAGCCCCTAACTTCCTGGAAGGCTCATTTGATCTTGAGGCCTCCAAGTCCTGCAGAGCAAACCTGGACAGCAGCTAACCTTGGAGGAGATGCAGGTTAAATAAAAACATCTGCGAAAGCGCCTGGCAGTGTGCTTGGCATCCCACAGTTCCTCAACCCCCAGTGGAATCTGATGGCAGGGACAGGATCCCTCTGGTCACCAATAAATCCCCAGTTTTCTATGGGTGACCACCGAACCTGCGTCACAGATGAGGACACTGAGGCACAGAAAGGTGAGGTCACTGGCGGAGGCCACAGCAGTGGCACACGGTAGAGGTAGGACGTAAGCCCCAGCTGGCTGAGTCTTAAGCCCGCCTCTTTAACTGCTGTGTTATTCACTTACATATTTGGTGGAGAAACAAATGAAGGACTCATTCCACCATTTAGGTTCTGGGTCTGGGTCCTGATTCTGGCACAAATGTGCTTCCCCTGTCTGGGCCCCAGTGGTTTCATCTTTCATGAGAGGGGGCTGGGCTTGTTGCCCCTCGGCCGGCGTGGGGGTCGGGAGCCCCACCTGCCCGATGCTGGAGATGGGCCGGATCTTGTCGTGGGCGTTCTCCCTGCAGTGCTCCAGAGCGGCAGTGAAGGTGAGCTGCTGCTGCTGGAAGAGCTTGTACTTCTGCTCGATGCCGCGAAGCAATTCTTTCACCTCATTCATTGTCTTCCTCTGTGGTCATTTACAGGAGAGGAGGAATCTGTGGGGAGAAAGAGGGTAGTGATGAGGTCCCAGGACCCAGTGCTCGGATCCAGCTCTGGAGGGAATGACTGTCAGGTCACTCTCACTGGAGCACCTGTGAGCGCCTCCCCACAGAAGAAAGCGCGGCCCTGGGAGGCTGCACACTTGTCCGGACCCCCCAGGCTGTCCATGACAGAGCTGAGCCTGACCTCGAAATTTACCCTCCATGAACACATTCTTTGCCATGAAATGTGACTTCTTCCATCAGCTGTGGACCGAGTTTCTCTGGTTCTGTTTCTCCAGATGTGGGATCTACACACATGCACGCACACACGTACACGCACGCACACACATACATGTGCACACACAAGCACATGCATACACACACGCACGTGTGTACACACACACAGCCTCCAATCCCTCACTGTGGTGTCAGGGATCAAGGGATATACCACAGGATATAAAACCAGGGGATTATCAGTGTGGATCAAATTATTTTAAAGTATCTGCTGCTCTGCAATTGGTGGGAAAGTCTGGGAATTCCTTCCCATGAATTAAGCGGGGAGAAGAATCAATACTAGACTGTCTAGTTTGAGAAGATGTGAGTCTGCCTGCTCTGGGCTGGGGGCAGGAGCCTTGGTCTCAGGTTTGCGCATTCTCAGGGCAGGGCTGGTGGCTAGTGGACTGCTCTCTGACCCTGCTAATTGCTGGAATGCCGTGATCAGTAACATGGAGGCTGTGGGGAGGGCTCTCTCTTGGCACCTCACAGACTGTCCCTGCTGTGATTTGGGTGGTCCACAGAGCATCTACAATCCTCCTGTGGGCAGAAGAGTCTGTGGGTGTGTGCTCCACGACATCACGATTTTGCTGAGTGCGTGCAAAATGCTCCAGACCACAGATTTCTATCACATTAGAGCGGGAAGGGACTCAGAAAACAAACTCCCTTGAGCTGCTACAGGGAAAGTGAGGCTCAGAGGGAAAGGTTTTGCCCAGGGTGTCACAGCAAATTTGTGCCCAAGACACCCTGGGTCCTAGGCTTCCTTACGTCTAACCAGCATCGTCAGTGCTGCCACACTCGGCTGCCCCTCCACTGCCTCCAGAACAAAGTCCAGGCTCGAATGTGTCACCACATGAGCAGGGGTCAGAGAAGGCTGTGCTGAGGTCAGGTCCAGTCCAAGGGAGATGTTGGAGATGGAAGGGGCCAGAACATTTAGCATGGACTGGGGCAGGGAAGGCACATTCCAAGCTTCCAAGCAGGTCCCAGGTGGATAGGAATGAGAACAAGACAAGGCTGGGAAATATTTCTTTCTGCTGTGTCCAGAGCAGGGCTGGAGCTGGGGGTCCAGCTTGAACCCAGGTGGTCAAGGCTGCAGTGAGCCATGATCACAGTACTGCACTCCAGCCTGGGGGACACAGTGAGACCCTGTCTCGAAAAACAAACAAACAAATAAACAAACAAAAAAACCCAAAAAAAACCCACAGAGGCGGGGGAGACGACATCAGAGGAATGAAAGGAAACACAGGAACAGACCAGGAGATGGCCTCTGCGAGATGATGGGTGTGGTAAATCAGGGAACTTGGAGGAGGCTGGGGAAGAGGCCCTTTAGCAAGATGGAGCCCAGCCACAGAGCCTCTATCCCTGGAGCCAAAAGCCAGCAAGGCTGCCTTAGAGGAGCCACCTTAAGAGCCACTGAGCGGGTCTCCTGGAAAGACAAGAGTATGCTTCTGCAGCAGAGCCACAGGGCTGTGACTATCAGCAGACACAGGGGCAGCTGCAGCTCCCCTGGGGGTGGGCTGGGGCCAGGGCCAGGGCAGGCAGGGCAGGATCCTCTTTCCAGCTCAACCTCCTATGGAAAGGAGAGCTGAGGGTGGGGAATGAGGTGGGGGTTTATGACGCCTGCCATGGTTTATTGACACCTGCCACATCCTTGGCTGGTCCCCACCACATGGAGCAGACACGCCGACTCACGGACAGTGGTTTCCTGTTGCGCCTCCCATGGTGTCCAGCTCACCCAGGCCCAACTAGGGCGAGATGAGGAAGGCACTTGCCTCCGTGCAAAACTTAAGGAGGTGCCAAAAAACTCAGCAATCAGGATAAAAATAGACCAGGCACAGTGGCTCACACCTGTAATCCCAGCACTTTGGGAGGCTGAGGCAGGAGGATCGCTTGAACCCAGGAGGTCAAGGCTGCAGTGAGCCATGATCGCAGTATCGCACTCCAACCTGGGTGACACAGTGAGACCGTGTCTCCAAAAGAAAAAAAAAAAAAAGCATCTTGAGTAGCTGGGATTACAGGTGTGTGCCACTACACCTGGCTATTTTTTGTATTTTTAGTAGAGATGGAATTTCACCATGTCAGCTAGGCTGGTCTTGAACTCCTGGCCTCAAGTGAACCACCTTTCTCAGCCTCCGAAAGTGCTGGGATGACAGGCAAGAGCCACTGTACCCAGCCCCAAAAACGTTTTTTAAAGAACGGGTCTTGCTCTTTCACACAGGCTGGAGTGTGGTGGTGTGATCATGACTCACTGCAACCTTGACCTCCTGGGCTTCCACCTCAGCCTCTTGAGTAGCTAGGACCTCAGGTACGTGCCACCGTGCCTGACTACTTGTTTTCTTTCTCTCTTTTCTTTTTTTTTTTTTGTAGAGATGGGGTCTCCCTATGTTGTTCAGGCTGGTCTCGAACTCCTGGGCTCCAGCGATCCTCCCACCTCAGCCTCCCAATGTGCTGGGATTAGAAGCATGAGCTGGCAGCGTCAGAATTTGTAAAGAAAAGATTGCTGCACCTTGCCATATTGAAACCTGAGGCAAGAGGAGAAATCAGTAATACTGAGCCTACCTTTACTTAAATTTTTGACATGTTACTCTAAATGGATTTTAGGCATTATTTTTGATTTTTTAAAAATATTGCATTAAAACGTGAAAAATGTCCACCTCAGTGATTGAACTGTTGGCATTCCCTTAAGTTTTGTGCTGAGAGTGCATCACTTGCCTTGCCCTAATCTTGGCCCAGGGCTTACAAATGACTCAAAGGTGAAGTTCCAGGAAAGTTAGAGAGAGCACCTAGGTGGAGCTCCAGGGAGAAGGGGCATGTGCCCTTTTGGCCTGGCTTTTCCCCCATCATGGTGAGAGCTGTGGCTGGTAGAGGTTGAGAGGAACTGACTCTGTTCTTGATCCTAGCAACTTGTGACATGCACACCACGAATGTCATGAGAGGAGCTGGAGCCCTGGAATCACAGAGGCCTGGATTCAAATCCTGACTCCAGCCCTTCTTGCTGACCTTGGGCAAGCTGCCCACCTTCCCTAAGCCTCAGTGTGCAGCAGCCTCCCAGCCTGGGGTGAGCTGACACGAGACCAGAGGTGTACGGCGTGGACCATGGGGCCCGGAATGTGGTGGTGCTATCATCAGAATCATCAACGCGACTGTGGCTGAAGCGTGTGTGTGTGCAATGGCAGGGGACACCATCACAGGCATGGTGTGTACCTCAAAAGAAGCAGGAACTGCTAAGGGCTTGACCTCCCGGAGGAAGGGATGTTTGGATCCGGACTTGAGAAGGAGGAGGCTGTGGAGAGGTGAGACAGGTGTGCAGTGGGGGTGGGACCCTGGGCTGGAGGTTGGTGTGTGGGGACGTGGGACTGTGCAGAAGAGGACAGTGGACAGGGTCAGGCTGAGGGACCCCAGTGTCAGGTGAGGCATTTGAAAGAACAGCAGAAGGCTTCTAAGCCAAGGGGGTGAAAAGCACTTCATGCATTCATTCACTTGTGCGTTCCTACTGTGTGCCAGGCACTATTCAGGTGCTGGGGTGTCCAACAAGACTCCCCGCCCTGGAGGAGCTCGTCTGTCACAGGGGAAGGCAGACCATGCGGAAGAGCGAAATGAACAGCATTTTAGATAAGGAGGAAATAAAGCAGGGAAGCAGGTGGGAACCTGGAGAATGAAGGGCCACTGTCTGCTGGAGGGGCATTTGCAGGAGGAGGGTGGGTACGGTGCCGGGACAGCTGGGGCTGTGCTCCAGCCCTCAAGGAGATCCTGGCCTGAAGAAGGGTGGCTCACTCCAGTCCTCCTAAGAACAGCGTGGGTCATGGGATGCGGCTCTAGGACATGTTAGCTCAAGTCCTCACCACGGCCTTAGAGCCAGGTACCATGGTTATCCTCACAGGATAGATTAGGAAACTGAGGCCAGATAAGGAATGGGCAAGTCAGGACTTCCTGCTCAGCTCTGCCTGGCTTTATAAAGTCTGGGCTCTTCACTTGGATCCCTCCCTTCTTCCTCCCTTCCTCCTTCCTCCTCCCCTTCTCCTTGGTAGTACTTAGAGACAAACACACCAGACATCAGACTGACTGTGGAGGTGAGGATAGGGAATGCGAAGGGCCTGAAGAGCTGCCTGACGTCTCCAGGGTTCAGCCACTGACTAGAGTCCTAGCCCTAGGCCTCACTGCCATGACCACTAGACTTTCCCTTTTCCTTGACCCAAAGCAAGGAGGACTAAACATTCAGGGGGCTGCCCTTTATGTGCCCAGCTCCCTGTCACCCTCTTGGGGCTTCCTGGGGTTGTCAGGTTCTCCAGGGATACAGCACTACCTTGGCTGGTGGCCCCAAGAGCCGCTGAGAGCAAAACTGACTCCGTTCTTGATGCTAGCAACTTGTGACATGCATGCCAGGAATGTCATGAGAGGAGCTGTAATAAGCTATCCGAAGTGATCGTCCCTTGAACGAGAGCCACTGCAGCCAAATTAGTGTGGATGAAAGGCACAGGGTATGGGCACTTCTCGATCTGGGGGAGGAGGGAGGAAAAAAATGATTACCCATAGGTTTTAGGCTTTAATGGATTTGTATTTTTCCAGGCTGGTAAAGAAGATTAAATCATGGTAGGAAAAGCGCCTAGGGCTTAAAATAAATGAGGAGAAAGGCAAGTCATTTCAGAAATGTCCAGGAAGCAAACCAAACCTCTCCAGTGCAAATGGCAGGCATGGCTGTTGTGTACTTTGTTCAGGAGGAGGCAGCTTCCTTTTCTTCCCCAGCTATCTTTACAGTTGGGTTTGACAAGCCTACCAAGGTGTGCACGCTTTGAGGAAGCGGTTTGGAGGTGAGGAGGCAACAGTGCTGGCTTTTACATTGGGCACGTCTCTGGGCTGGTGGCTGGTAGAAAAAGGCTTTAGCTGGAGCCTGTATGTGGAGTTCATGCCCTGGCTCTGCCCGATTTAATCAGTGACCCTAGCCAAGATTTCTCCCTTTTCTGGGCCTCAATTTATCCATCTGTCAAATGAGAGAGTTTGGATTAGCCTCTTCTTCAAGAGGCCTTCTGGTTCTAAGGCTGTATGATCAACAACTGATGAGGAAAGAAGCCCAGAAAGGGGAAGTGACTCGCCCAAAGTTACCCAGCCAACCACTCCTCATTGTTCTAATCCTCCAATTTCTCATCTGTAAAATGGGAATGAAGGTGCCCATTTCACAGGGTTGTTGGAACGATTAAATGAAATACTACTACTAATAGTAGCCCCATATATTGTGTGCTTACTGCATGCCAGTTACTCTCCAATACATTAGCTCCTGAATCCTTCAGCAGTTCCTGCTTCACAGGCGAGGAAAGTGAGGCACGGAGCAAGTAAAGAGTTTGCCAAGCTCACACAGTAAGAAGTGGAGCCAAGACTGGAATCTGGGGCTGTCTGCACTGACTGTGCCATTTTCCCTCTCCATAAGGTACAGAGACAACAGAGTTTCGCCGAGAGCACAAAGTTAAGAGTTCAACAAACTCTTACAGTTCCTACTGTTAATGGCAACAGACAAGAGCTAGAGCTCCCTATTCAGTGTTGCGACTAATAAAATATCAAGCTGCCCCGTACCACTGGGAATTCACACGACTCGAAAAGCTCCATCTCCAGCGCGAACCTTCCCCTCGCCACCCACCCAGACAGCTATGCAGGCCCCTCCATCCTCCGGACCCCTCCATCTTTCCATCCTCCACCCCAGCTTCCAGTTTCTGACCCAGAGGCCGGGATGGGGTCTGAGTGGGCCCACCCACGGTCATCGCTGTTTACCCTTGCTTGTCCTAGAGCGCTCTTCGCTCCACGGAGCACCCAGAAGCTGAAGTCACTCCGTGAGTGTCGGTGCCCCGGAGGGTTGGGGAGGCCCGTCCCAGGTCTTGGGAGGCGAGGGTGGGTGGGGAGGTCGGGCGAGAAGGGGCGGGGCCGCGGGCCTGATTGTTACCGCCGGTGCCATAGCAATCGGGTCACGTGGCGGCTGGGCCAGAGCCGGGGAGCCGGAGGTGGGGTCTACCCGGGCTCGACGCTAGGAGTTGGGCTGAGGATTTCAACCCGATCTTCGAACCTCCGGCCCATCCCATAGACGCCCCTCCCTCTTCAAACACCCTCCCCCACATTTATTCCCGCATCTCTATTTTAAAGATGGGGAAACTGAGGCACAGGGAGCGGGGCCAGGGAGCACTGACAGAACCAGAAGCAGGGTCCGCCTCGGAGGGCCGACCTGCCCCTTCTGGGTTTCGTCGAGGGTCTCAGATACGAGGAGACTCAGCTGGAAGCCACCTGAGGGTGTCTCCCGCTAAGATGCGCAAATGGGGAAAGAGAGGTCGGGGTGAGGGAAAGAACTTGCCCGAGCCGCAGAGCACGTCAGCCGAAGAGGTCGGGGCGGGGGCGACCCGCGCGACCGAGGCTCGGGAATCTGGGCCCGGCGCGGAGCCTGCAGGGCGGGGCTGCGGCGCGTGCTGATGACGCAGACGGCGCGGCGGCCCTGGCGACGCGGTTACTAGGGAGCGGCGCGCCGCGACTGCTGCATGGACTCGGCCAGCGCCCCGCACCGTATCCCCCCCGAGATGCCCCAGTACGGGGAGGAGAACCACATCTTCGAGTTGATGCAGGTGACCGGACACCCCTGCCTGTCGCGACGCTGGCGGCGGCTCGGGAGCCTCCACCGCGACGTCGGGTGCGCGGCCGGGACCCGTAGCTGGGGCCGAGTCATGCGCCCACGAAGCAGCCCAACTCGAGGTGTCCGATTCGTGTGTCGCCGTGACCCCGAGGGGGCCCTCGAGCTGGGGACGCCCCTGGCCCTGCCAGGGTTTGCCTCAGGCGGACCCAGAGGGAGGAAGGGGGCCACTTGAGCCGAGATTTGGTCCTGGTGCCTTAAGATCTGGAACCAGTCCTTTCCTTGTCTCGGTTTCCCCACCTGTGAAATGCCAGCTTGGAAGAGGTGGTCTCCTAGGGGCTCTCCTGGCTCTGACAGTTCCCATCTGTCAAATTTGTGGGGAGCCTCTCGGCCCAGGTTTCTGAGGTGGGCATTGTCCGAGTTCAAGCTGGCATCTCCATCCTCGGAGAAGACTGCCTCGGGGACAGCAGCGTCTCCCACCCTGGTCCCTCCCCCTCAGGGCCGGACGTCCCCTGCAGCTCCGAAGCTCTCATCCTGGCTCCAGGCCTGACTGGGCCCCTAGCTCACCGTGTGACTTTGGGCGGGGCCCCCGCCCCCGCCAGAGCCCCAGTTTTCCCTTCTGCACTTGGTGGAGGTCAAGGCTTTCAGGAGCTGGAGGGGATGAACTCTCAGCCACTCAAAGGTTCTGGGAGGCAAAGGGAAGCTGGAGCTCAGTTTCCAGAACATTTGTCTGCTCACCAGGGTACACCCCGTCCCCAGGGGCATGGCATGGAGGGCATAGTGGTGTCTGTGGTCATTTGAGACTCTGCCCTGCACACTAGATAGCTGAGCCCAGACAAAGAAACCCGCGTCTGTACCTCCATCAAACACATTCCCCTTGGAAAGTTTTAACTGATAGAGGGAGAGCAAGAGATTCCAAAAACTGCTTGAGTGGCCAATCACAAATAAAATAGCTAGCTGGGTTAGAAGTCAGCGGGTCAGGGCAGGATGGGGGAGCATCTGGAGCCCTGCTGTCTGCTCTAGAGAACCTGGTGTGTTTTCCACAGTGATTGTTGGAGGAGTTGCCCAGGAAAGCTTTTCCTGATTTTGAAACAGGGTCTTGCACTGTTGCCCAGGCTGGAGTGCAGTGATGCAGTTATGGCTTACGGCAGCCTTGAACTCCTAGGCTCAAGCAATCCTTCTGCCTCAGCCCCTCCAGAGTAGCTGAAACTGCAGGTGCAGGCCACCATACCTGGCTAATCTTTTTTTTTAATTTTAGTAGAGACGAGGTCTTGCTATGTTGCCCGGACTGGTCTTGAACTCCTGGGCTCAAACAGTCTTTCTGCCTCTGCCTCCCAACAAGAAAGCTTTCAGTCCAATATTTCCAGTCCTTAGTCATCTGTGTATTCCCTCCATGGTTTTGACCATTTCCATTTTTTATACTTTTGACTTTATAATAATTTTAGATTCACAGGAAGTTAAAAAATAGTATGGATTTCTGGTCTCCCCTCCCCCATTGCCCCAGTGATAACATCTAACATAACTGTAGCACATTGTCGAAACCAGGAAACTGGCATTGGTACAAGAGGGTTACCTGAACTGTAGGCCTTATTTGGATTTCCTCCATTTTTACCTGCATTGATGTTTTTGTTGTGCATACAGTTCTGTGCAGTTATATCACATGGACAGATCTGCATAACCACTAATGCACCTCCATTTAAACTAATCACTTGTTCTAATCAACTCACCTTTAAAAAAAATTAAATAGCCGCTTTTGCCTCATCCTAAGTAATATCCTTGAAATTATTGATTTGATGTACTTATTTTTCCAATATGTTAAATACACAATGATTTAAACATGAAATGTAAAATATTTATGTGTGAACCATCAAAAATCATCTCATTCCATCACACCAGTGGTATACAAACGTGAGTTCACTCCAGCTGTGCTACTGAACAGGCGGAGAAGCTGAGGCCCAGAGAAGGGAAGGGACTTGCTGGGGAGATACAGTGGGGCTGGAACCAAGACTTCTCACGGCTCGGTGCTCTTTTTCCTGCCTCACACTCCCTTCACTCCAAGAGGGCTACAGCCCTTCCCTCCTTGTTCCTGGGGCTGAAGGATACCCCTTATTGCGGCAGCACAGCTGCTGTGAGCTCTTCCTCATTTCTGTGCCTAGGATTGTGCAACCCCAGAATCTGCTTTCCCTTGATATGCTTGCCTGATTGGATGAAATGGCCAGAATATCCCAGGACTATTTAGAAATCTGGCTGGTAATATTCTGTTCCATTCTGGAGGGACACATGCAGTGGTGATGGTCATGTTCCCCAGCAAACATCTGCGCCGGCCATCTGCTATGACTGCCAGGCATTGGGGTGCCAAGGGCTCTAGGCAGACAAGGAGGCCCAAAGAACCCATGGCCTGCCAGGAGGATGGTGGCCTGGTGAGTAGGAACAGGGTGAGGCATGGAACAGGGCAATGCCCGCAGGCAGGTGCAGGAGCATCTGACATGTTTGCCTAGTGCACATACTCAAGAAAGTATGTTCCCATTGAGATCTGAGACTGAGCAGAAGGTAGCCAGGATGAGGATGAGGAAGAAGCTTCCTAGCTAAGGGGACAGCATCCGCTAAGGCTCTGAGGGGAACGGTGATGCTTGAGAACTTGGAGAAGGCTCGTCTGGGAAGCCCAGAGAACCCCAGGGGAGAGAGCCCTGGACTGCCTGCTCTGAATCAGGGGCAGGGTGCCCCACTTCTGCCTCCCCCAGGTGCCTCTGCAGCAGTACCATGTGGCCCCCCTCATGCCTCTGCTCCTGGGGACCCAAGCAGATGCCAGCTGGGGCAGAGGCTGGGTCCCAGGTTGAAGTCACATTTGGTGGGGTGCAGTGGAGACAGCAGGCCCCGTAGCTGGTATCTATGGTGACCAGGTGCCCCTGCAGGTATTAACCACCTGGGTGTCTGCCCTGCACCCACAGAACATGCTGGAGCAACTCCTGATCCATCAGCCTGAGGACCCCATCCCCTTCATGATCCAGCACTTGCATAAAGACAACGACAATGGTGAGCACTGGCTGGGGCTCTTCCCCTCCCCATCTTCCCCTCGCCTCCTCCTTCCCCTTCTTTCCTGACTCCTCTGTTTTCTCCTTCTTCTCCTCATCCTCTGTCTCCTCCTTCTTCTCCTCATCCTCTCCAGGTATCCTGCCCCACCCCGAGAATAGCTGAGCACTGTCCTGTCCTACCTGTGTCTGAAGGGAGGTCAGAAGGGAGGGGTTTCGACAACTTGAGGTGGTGGTTCATTGAAAAATGCCTTAATTTCTTTTGGAGCACAACTTATAAAAATTCTCTTGCCAAGTTACTAAAATGAAAACCCCAGAATGACCCATGGAATCAATTATTAATGCTTTCGCCTGCCCTAGCTGATGTCGCCTGTTGGGTTTCAGCTCTCTGATCACTCCACTTGTCAGGTGTAAGTTTGGTCTCTGGTCTACCTAGACAGGCAAGCTCTTGGGCTTTTCTGACGGTCTCATTATCAGAGCGTGTTAATGAGTTTCTGAGCTCCCCAAACCTTTGCAGTTGGCCAGTGCAGGTCAGCCGACCCAAGGCCAGAGCACAGGAGCGGGGAGGAGGGAGGCACTCACACAAGGAAGGCCCCTCACTCGACTCCATGGTCCCTTTGCCAAGTGGAGGGTCTGTCCTGTCCTGTGTGGGCTGTTGGGTAGGACTGATGTCTTGGAGCTTTTATGTTTCTTTCATTGGGGAATTAGCTGCTTTGAAGGAGCTACCAGCGCACCAGTGAAATTAGCACTTGGTGCAGCTGAGGCCAGAGGCCAGAGATGCCCTGTGTGGAGGTTCAGAAGGCCCAAGGTGAGAAATGACACTAGGTAGTTAAAAGAAAAAAAAAAAGTGAGAGAGGAGGTTCCAAGCCTTTTCCTCGTGCCCTGCATGCAGGTCCTGGCGCATCCAGGTCTGGCTGCGGAGCAGCAGAGGAAGGGAGTCTTGGCTCCCGATGCCATTGCATGGACCTAGGCAGGCAGGTTCAAAGAGAGACCCCACAAAGGGCCAACAAAGAGTCCCTTTTCTGAGCCTCTGGTTAGGTGCAAATGGCTGATTCACTGGACGTTCCCTTGTTCAGCGGATGTTGACTGAGAGTCCTGTGTGCCCAGGCGTGGGTGGTGTGGTGCTGGGGTGGCCTCGGGACCCCTTTCCTCATGTCCGATTTGCCTTCTCCCCAACCCCACCTTCCTGGTGCAGTTTACTCTGCCCTGCAGTGACTCTTAGAGACCGTCTTTCTCTGGTTGGCTGTTT